GGTGTGGCAACTTAAACCACTTCACTTCTGTGCAAAGTTCTGCAGTCAAACTCAGTCACTCAAGAGATTTCGTAACTATATCATCCAATAACTTATTCCATTATGTAGGCTGGAGCAGTTGAAATGATTGATCATCTTAACTATTTTTATGAGGTTCAGTCACCTTATATACTTATTACGCTTTATAAATTTGAATAAAGCAAGAACAACAAGCTGACGAAATAAATGACGTTACTATGTTATTCTGCACAAATCGTTCTTGCTTTATTCAGATATTCAATCGGTTAGACAACGAACAAAATTGCTAAAACAGTTGGTTGAGCTGGGTATTTTAAATGATCCTAAAGATGTAATGTAATAGACTTTAGTGGTAACTTACTTAGAAGTCGGTAGTGATTCATGAATTCGTTTATTTTTCTCACCGCAATGTCAAAGTAAAAAGGTGAGCTATAATCCATATCTCAACAAAAAATGTAGACTCTGTTTAGTTGCTTTCCGAATGTGGATGATATTCATAGATTTTTTGTTTAGCTATAAGAGATTGTGTGGTCGGACCTCGCGTTGCTTTCGCAGGTGTACTTTATATTTGAAGTATTATTTATTTATTTATTTATTTAAACGCATTAAAACTTGGTACAATATGGCACCAAGAAGGATGCGCCACACAATAATAATAAAACAACATAGATGAAAAAAAAAGGAAGACAGGAAAAGAAAAAATATATATAAGTAGAGAACGAATAATGAACTTCATCTGGGAGGAAAACACTCATTCTTAACAGGTTCAAACAGTGTTCGTTAACTATCATCGGGAATGGAAGAAAGAAGGAAATCGCAACACATTCGCCATTGATTACGATTCTTGGCCATATCCGATAACGTTTCGAGCCATCGATTTGAGCTATCTCTCAGACCCCAACCAGGGAGTCGTGACACACCAACCGATGCTAATCTAGCACAAATATCCTTCATCCCACGACGCCACGTCATGGGCTGACCACCTCTCCGCCTTTTCCAACCCGTCCCAGGGCTAGCGAACAGAGACCTGTACGGAAGCCTCTGGGGTGACATTCGCAGCACATGTCCAAGCCACCGGAGCCGGTGTTTCCAGATGACGACATTCAATGAATGGTGATCTCCACTGTGTTCAAACACACGCCGCCGAACCTCAGAATTACTCACGCGATGATGCCATCGAACGCAAGCAATCCTGCGGAGACAGCGGTGATCGAACACGCAGAGTCGCCTCACATCCTCAGCTCGGAGAGGCCAGGTTTCACAGGCGTAGAGCAACGCAGCCCGCACCGAAGCATTGTATACCCGACCTTTGACAGCCAGGCTAACGTCGCGACGGCGCCAGAGGTGGCTCAAGTTGATGTATGCCACCCTAGCTTTCATTATACGGTTGGAAATCTCATCCGTCACCCCTCCGCCAGCACTCACACAACTACCTAGGTACACAAACTTATCGACAACTTCAAGCGGTTCACCCGCAAGAGTGAGTGCAGGCACAGGCTCCTGCCAATCTTGTAACAGTACTTTGCACTTAGACGGCGCAAAGCACATACCATACTTACAGACACTGATCGCCAACTGATTGAGTGCGATTTGGGCAGCCTGCATGCTATCGCACAGTAAGACGATATCGTCTGCATACTCGAGGTCGAAAAGTCTATCTCCAGGTAGCAGATCTACACCACCTTCACGCACATCCTTCAGAGCTGACTCCAGAATGTCATCGATGGCAAAGTTAAAGAGAAATGGTGAGATTGGGCAACCCTGTCTAACCCCACTGTTGGTTGGGAACAGTGGTGATAGTTGGTTGTATGCCCTCACTCTACCTGAGGTGTTTCTGTATAGGGCTTTCAAGATGTTAACAAATTTCTCAGGTACACCTCTCTCTAACAGACAGTTCCAGAGCACAGTTCTGTCCAACGAATCGAAGGCAGCCCTAATATCAAGAAACACAACGATCGTTGGCCTGCAATACGTGTGGCGGTGTTCCAACAACTGACGAAGGGTGAACACATGATCAATGCATCCACGACCTGAACGAAACCCAGCCTGCTCTTCGCGAATCAATCCTTCGCGTATTTTGCACAGTCTGCGAAGCATGACAGCAGCCAATATTTTAGACGCAACTGGTAACAGACTGATACCCCTATGGTTGTCACAGGAATTACGTCGACCCTTTTTAAAGATGGGGACGATAATGGCTTCGTTCCACATTGATGGTACGCTCTCTGTCTCCCACACCCTCCTGAACAACCCAGTTAGAGCCATTATGAGAGTCTCGCCACCATCTTTAAAAAGAGCCGGGGGTAATTTGTCTGGGCCGGGCGCCTTATGGCGTTTCAGAACTTGGAGTTCCTTACGGACCTCCGCTTCGGTGGGTGGGTCGGTACTAACCGACCAAGGAGCACTCGGGCTAATGATAGTAGACAATGAAGCTGGTGGCCAGCTGAACTGCTTCCCGAAGTGCTCTGCCCAGCGTTCCAGGCGTCTCTTCAGGCTGGTAATTGGAGTGCCATCTGCCTCACAGACCGTCTCGCTGACACCTTGTTTCTTGCTGCCGGTGGCTCGTATGAGTTGGAACAGCTTCCGACTGTTGCCAGATGCAGCAGCTGACTCCATCTCATACGCACGTTCTGACCACCAGGCTTCGCGGTCCTTACGTAAACACTGTCTAATCTTGCGCGTGAGCGCCTTTCGCTGATTGTTGTATTCACTGCCAGCCGGAATGGACCGGCGTTCATCCATGAGTTGCAAGGAACTCGCAGAAACCCAGTGGTTGTTAGCGGAGCATTCTTTCAAGCCGCAAGCGGCTACACTCGCTCTTTGCATGGCACCTTGCACATGAAGCCAGTGTTCATCTATACTACTTGGGGGGTTGCTGGCAAGCATTGTTTTCAACTCGTTCTGATATTTCAAAGAAGTAGCAGGTGCTACTAGTTTGCTCACATCAACGCTTAGACGACGGTTTTTACGAACCCCATCAAATCGCAAGACGAACTTGGCACACACTAACGCATGATCGGAATCCAGGCATGTGCTCCAGAAGGAGCGACAGTCTTGTATGCATCCTCGCCACCGAAAACTGACCGCAATATGATCAATCTGAGTCCAAGCTTGCTTCGCAGAGGGAGGACACCAGGTAGCGCTACGGCGATGGCTGTGCCGGAAGTTGGTGCTGGCTAGAAATAGGTTGTGATCCGCGCAAAGCTGCAGAAGACGGTCCCCATTATCTGACCTGCGACCATGTAGTCCCCACTGACCACCTAGACGACTCTCCTCTGAGCTTAGACGCCCGACCTGTGCGTTCAAGTCCCCAGCTAGCACTACGATATCCCTCCGACCCGCCTGTTTCAACAGATCGCTCAGTTGGTAGTAAAACTCATCCTTCATTGCATCCGGTCTGCAATCCGTCGGTGCATAGGCAGAGACAACAAATAGACACCGCCTATCTGGCCTACTACTCCTTACTTTCGTATAACCTTCCAGCCTCACAGCACATAAACGACTGTTAATGGGAATCCAGTCGAGCAGTGCAGCTTCGGCTCTAGCGCTCAGTGCGACACCGACACCAGCTACGCCGGATGCTGATGCCACAGGGTCCCCGGATAAGCGCAGGTGGTACATACTACTAGAACTTCCAGATGGAGAGGACAGTCGAAGCACTTCACTGGGATCTTGAATGCGGGTCTCCGAAATGCAGCAGACATCGATAGCGAGGCTTTCCAAAGTTCTTGCCAACCCTGCCTGTTGTCCGATTTGCATCAGCGTCCGAACATTGTAGGTAGCCAGCTTGAACGCAGCACGCGGTTTCAGGATATCTGTGTTAGAAGTCACATTGGGGACAGCCATTTTGAGGACTACTCACTAACATCTCGAAACGACACAGATAGGCTAGGAATCCAAACAAAGGCGAAAGGCTGTCGAAGGTTAAGAAGTCAAGGTTAGGAAAGGTAAAATATAGGAAACTAAGTATAAAAATAAAAGTAAGGTTGGAAAGAGATGTGTTACTTGAGACATCATTATTGCTTGAGAGCATTGTTAAGAGCGCGCGATGAGTTTCACTGATAGTTCGTTGCTTCATTTAATTAATTGTGTGAGGGCTGAGATACTGCCCGGGCGCCCAAACCGAAGCAGGTGGTTTTCTTAAGGGACCACCCCCCGAGCCTTTGACTTGGAGTCTAATCCGCAAGGCAGCGGAGCAGCGTCAGGTGCTGCGTTCCCATGGTTGCCGGTGACCCATATGGGTTCGTACGCCATTTGATCCTATTGGATTCTGGAGCCCATGTACCCCATGGTAACTGCTTTTAGTCTAACCGCTATCCAAACAACCTTCCTGGCATGGTAGGACCTGCAGGGACATGAGTCCCAGCCAGTTTAGCTTGTTGGGTCACTGCGGCATTCAAGCCCGACCACCACGGCAAGGTAGCAGTTATCGGCCGGGATTTGAAGTATTACCGTGGATGGCTTATGTGGTTTTATTTCAGTAACAAAATGGATGTATATTAAGATGTTTAGTAAATGCTACTTAAGTGGCAAAATCTTACAAAACGATTAGAAAAAGTGTAGAAAACTATCATTCACATATCACATACGAAAAGTGCATCGTTGGCTGTAAGCTAGTACTATAGCTAGAAAGTGGTATTGAATTAGCTATTTATAAGGTCACTAACTTTTTTCACAATACTTCTTCACTTAATTATAGTTTTCTCACTAGACATTTATTAAGTTCTTTTTTTATAATAACTCTCCAGTATCCTTTGGAAGCAATGTATTAATGGTGTTCATGCAGTTGTCATACCTCCACTGTTACTTATCAGACTCAAAGAATAGTTAAGACAGTTAATTCCTTTAGTAAATTCAAATTAGGCATTAGGTAGACAAATATCGTGATGTCTGTCTTTTTAGTTCATTGTTCAAAGAATAATGTTTATTGCAAATAAAATCTCCATTATTATGGTTAAATTTCTTTTGTAATGTCCTTCTAGCATCTGTATACCTTCATATAATGTTCGTGTTAAACAATGGTAGTTCTCTACCTTCATTGAATCTTTTAACTATGACCACTGTGATTGAGGCGAACGGACCTGTTTACAATGGACCTGGAGCCAGTAAACCAAGTTCTCCATTTGTACTATGCAATCTCGAGTTATCTCAGCGTGCTGCTATAGAGAAAGCTAAGAAATATGCAATGGAACAAAGTATTCGCTCTGTGCTTTTACGACAGACACAATCTCAACAATCCCTTCAGTTGAATAATATTAAGAAGAATCAAACCGTTGCACTTTTAAATCGTGTCTATGTTGGTTCGATAGCATATGATGTGAAAGAAGACAGTCTAAAGCAAGTTTTCTCTCCATTTGGTCCGATCAAGTCCGTAAATTTAAGTTGGGATCCTTCCACTCAAAAGCACAAGGGATTTGCATTTTTGGAGTTCGAATATCCAGAAGCAGCCCAGTTAGCTATTGATCAGATGAACGGAGCTAGTTTTGGAGGAAGACAGCTTAAAGTGGGAAGACCAAGCAACTTAACGAATGCTGAACCTGTGATAAATGATCTAATTAACGAAAATAACCTTCACAACCGTATATATGTTGCTGGCATACATCTGGATCTTACTGAAGATGACGTTTCGTTAGTGTTTGAGGCTTTTGGAAAGATAGTGTTTTGCAAGTAGGTCACAATTTACCGACATAAATATTTGCTTACAGACTTCAACCTGATCCAATAAGACCAACACGTCATAGGGGATTTGGTTACATAGAATACGAATCAACACAGAGCGCAGCTGATGCAGTTGGCAGTATGAACCAGTTCAATCTTGGCGGTCAACTTCTGCGTGTATGCAAAGCCATATCACCTCCGGATGGCATTTCAAACGCTAATGCTTCTAATCTCCCACCAGCAGCAGCTGTGGCTGCGGCTTCAGCTACTGCTAAAGTTTTATCAATGGAGACTGAACAGGTAATTATTAGTAATGGAATAAAATTGAAATTTCCATTGGTGAACATGTTTTTCACTAATGCTTTTATTCTCATTGCAGCTTCCTGTCAATTCTTATTCTAAACAACCTGAAACAACCACTAATGTAGTGCTGAATGCCGTTCCCAGTACAGTAACACCTCAGCCTACCAGTCTTAATAATAATTCCCTACCTATATGTTCTCCTGTACCGGTCTCAACGACTGGCCAATCGCCTCTTGATCAACCTTCATTAAATGGTAAATTCATCTTTTGTTCTGCTCTAACTAGGTAGATGATTTCTAAATTCTTTTTCCCTTTTTCTTTTTTAGTGTAAAAATTCACTTTAGACTACATACAGGTATAGATCTAATGGTATATGTATGTGTGTAGAATATGTATTTTGTTTTTCACAGAGTTAGCACCAGCTGTAATTTATGTGTTTTGCTTGAATTGCAACTTGAAATGGGTTGTCATGCATAAATAAAGACTGGTTTTCAGCTGGTGGATAAATGATTGCATAGGATGTCTCCTTTTCCTTATATTAACTTCTGTAATGATTACATTCAGTATGAACGGCATATCTAAAGTCTGCAAACTACTCGTCAACCTTTTTGTATGTAGTATCATTTGAAAAGTGATCTTTTTCACTGGGTAAGTTCTGTTGACTATAAGTATGCTGTCAACCATTAGAGTGTGTGTTCACTGTACTCATATATGGAATAGTACATGATAAGATAAGAATTCAAGCACCGTAATCCTATTCATCAGTGTGTTGAAAATAATAGGCTTGACAAATCCACTGTAATATATCCTTTTGTTTGTTATCGTTCACATAGTTGTCAGTGTTAAGTCAAACTTGTGAGTGTATTTATCTCTCCGGAATGTCGGTCATTCTGCTATGTGGACTTATTTCGATGCATAATGCTTTATACTTGTGTTTAACGTAGTCTAACAGAAAAAAAATAACCGATTGAGTCCCCAGCTGTGGATGACGTATCTTACTGGGATAACCCAAGTGTTGTCTGATGCCTAGACATATGATTGTTTATCTCAACCAGGAATAATAGTAATTATTGGTGTACGACTGTCTAATGTAAGCCCACTTTCATATCGAAAAGGTACATTCGATAGGATGTGGAATTTATAAATGAGAAAGCAACTCACTACTCTATTTGGACCATCACCTGGATCCTTCAATTTGAATGAAAAGTGTAACCCTGAGGAAATTATTATTATTATTATTGTTCCCTTGGGTTCCTAGTGGAACATAGGGCTTCAACTGCACGCCTCCACTTGCTTCTGTCTTGTGCTGTACTTTTCACTTGCATCCATGTTAATCCATACTGTTTCAGTTCCTCATCACACGATTTCCTCCATGTCACCCTTGGACGTCCCACTCGCCGCTTTCCTTTCGGGTTCCACTCGAGGGCCTGACGCGCGATGTCACCCAACGGCCTCCTCAGCGAGTGTCCAATCCATCTCCACTTTCTCCTGCATATTTGTTGGGCGATTGGTTCCTGTTTTGTTTGTTCCCATAGTTTCTTGTTTGTGATTCTTTCCGGCCATCTAATCTTCAGTATAGAGCAAAGACAGTTGTTGATAAAGGTCTGCAACCTGTTGAAAATATTCTTGGTGACCCACCAAGTTTCTGATCCGTATAGAAGAACTGACTTGACGTTTGTATTGAAAATCCGAATTTTGTTGTTGATGCTGAGTGACGAAGATTTCCAGATTGGTTTCAGGTTGATGAATGTATTTCAACCCTGAGGAAATACAAGGGATAAATTATTCATTGTGACTTCCAAGATTCTACAATCGGTTGTTCTCATAGAAATAGTCAAGTTTGCCTACAAAAAGCTTAAGATAATTGGAAAAACCGTTTATTTAAGAAAAGTTTATAGCTCACACTCACTTGATTGGTGATCTGGGATTCGCCGTACCGCCTCAAATTAATTTACACCGTTGAAGCTAACACTTGGAATGCTATTGCAAATACAGTAATCTACTACATTTGTACTAGTAGGTGAAGGAAGTGACAGGAATACAATTTCTTATATGCATACGAATCAACTGTAACGAACGTGTGTGTTTACGTTAACGTCCCTAATATATTTTGTATATTCTTGTATTTTAGGGTAGTAATTGCTTGTTGTGTGTGTATATTTTGTTGTGAACTTAATTATTGCTTTATTGCCATTATATTCCTACATGGTTTTAATATATGAAATTCATCTGTTAGTAGTAGTGAATACCATTCGTAAATATATATAGTTATGAATACGTTTTTCACTAACTCAGCGATTTTTAGTAATAAGATACCTAAAACTTGATTCAAAAAATCTTTCTATCTCTATCTCTACTACTCCCCGACTTTTAAACTTCATTTAGAGTTTATTTTAAGATACAATCTTATCAGATATATTTTTTCTTCAAATTTCAACAGTTGAATCTAGTGTACCGAACTCCCAAGTAAATAATTTCAATGAAAGTACTAACTCAAATTCTATGGGGTCGTGGCAGTCCGAGGTACCTGAAGAATACTCGCATGCACCACCTCCAGCCGTATCTCCAGTTGGTTTTCCATCGAATTCAGTCACCCCTGCATCCTCTGAGTGTTCGACTTATTTTCCAGGCGGGTAAGCATGATAGACACTTGCACTGAGAACATTTTTATCCATCATATAATGTGTCAAAGTCACAATACAGGCGTAGTGTCATGCCGTTTTAGCTATGTGGATTTATTTCTCGTCTTGAACCGTTTTATTCTGATAAAAGGGATCTACCGGTTCATTTCTTTTATCATAGTAAAGTATAATTTTTATTAGATAAAATACTTTTAACCAACTTAAGTGTCATGCTGGTTGACTGACTCAACTTGGCGTCTCAGAATGCAAACAGTTTTTTTCTTTTATAGTGGTAGGTCGTGTGGTTTTCATTGTTGAATATTGATTGGCATATTGATATGTAGTCACATGATGTCTACCTTTGTTTCATCACAGGAAATATACGACCCAAAACCTTCACCATATATACCAACAGAGGCTAATAGGAGAGAGAGCAGATTAGTACAATGAGCTAGTCGAACACTAGTCGACGAACCAGATGATGGAGTTATCGACAGGACAAGCAAGGCGTTCAAGGCAACTTCTTTTTCATTTGGTAGACCTGAACAAAGAGCTGATTCTACCAATCGCAGTTGCGATGGTTCATATAAGTCAGGGAATTCATCTGAATGATGGTTGGAGTCGGAAGTATCATTGTCTTGACTGAGCACAGAGAATTCTCTATTAGTTTGACTATATTCCTAAGTTATAGGGAAGAAGCGAGATCGGTATGACCGGTCAAAATAATCACCTGCTGAGTGAGATGTCATGTAACCATGTTGATGCGATGTACCAATTTCAAGACTTCGTTTGACTGCAGAAAGAGGGAGGCATATACTTTCCGGTTCAATATCCGGCTCCACAAGTGTCTGTAGCAGAAATTGTTCAGAAAGAGCAGGATATTCTTTAATTTCAAAATGACTCAAGAATTGATAATAGATTCTCCGCAAACCCACACTTGCATTCGCACATTGCAAGGGTAAGTGGAGCTCTCTTGCCATATCCAACCACAATCCACGATCATATACTATTTTGTAACCTCCCCGGGATATCACAGCCACAAACAAGTCACAGAGTTTTATTGGCTTGCCTAAAAGTCTTGGCAATCTACGATGGTAATGTCTCTGAATCCGCTTAAGGAGACGCTTATTGTTTGAAACTTCGCGTCTTAAAGTTCTGCTGGTTTGTGATATAAAGCTCGGGCAATTGGTGGAACGTCCAAAATTAGGTCGTGCAACATTTGGATGAAAGTTGATGTTATATTGACTTATTTAAGGCAGACATATTTACTCCAGTGCTTACTAAATTTCAAAAGGTGTTTTGTGATAAAGCACACACAGTTTTGATCTCACCAAATAAATTTTTGAAATGAAGCACTTGTTCATCGACCACACCCTTTTTACAATGTCTATCTATTGTTACCACGTGGATACAAAAACTAATGTGAACACAAGTGGACTTTCAAAAACTTGTGATACACTGATTGGAAGTGAAACTTCCTGTAAAAGTGAGTCACCAATTAATTTTCTTTACTTAGATGCAATCGAAAACATTCCCTGAATACTTAAGACTTCTGGTATGGTGGATTTTAACAATTCATCTGATTAAATACCAGATATTTGCTGACATGTTTTTTTTGATAACTAATAACAGCAATCTACTTATTTTGCACTGGTGTACTGTATTGAGTTAGTTAGTAATGGCGCCCGACTTCTATGGTGATTGGTGAAGTAACGGTTTTTTGACCTGTACATTATCGAGCACTTCATTTTTGAAGGTAGGATGTCATTTAGTTGTACTTGACGCCTGTTTCATCCTAGTTTGGGACTCTTCTCCGGTGCTCATTCGCTGGGGTTCGGACCCAGGACCTTCCGGTTACAAGGATAGCGAGCTTGTAGACCATTCAACCACTAGCATCCGATTCAATGGCCCATGAATTCTAACTTCTGTCAATTAACGATATATAGTGCAACCGTTAGCTAGTGTCTGTCATAGGCTAGTAACTGATCTCTTACTTGATTTGGTGGGACCCGATTGGTTCTGTCTGTCTGTTTTCGACATAGAACTTTGCACTGATGTGCGGCAGTTCAAGTCACCACACTCCATGTAGCACACAAAGGAAGAGAAGAAAGTAGGAGAAATGCATAATATAGACAGTAAACAGAGGTGTGAGACAAAGGAGTAGTAATAACGGAGAACAAAACAGATTAATTGGAAACCATAAGTCACAAGGAGTGGATGCATCTGCGCCATTAAGAACGATTTTGAGCCATGTCACCAATTGCTTCCAACCATTGGTTTTTACCGTCTCGAGGGCCCCAACCAGGAAGTCTACATCTCCCTACGTGACTTAGACTAACTGTTGTGGATTTCATTGACTGGTGCCAAGTTTTGGTTTGACCGCCGCTTGCTCTTTTCCAGCCTGGCCTTATATCAGCTAACATTGCCCGTCGAGGAAGGCGATGACTAGGCATACGTAACACATGTCCCAACCATCTCAGTCGAAGTAATTTCACAGTTTCATCGATTGATTTCCCCGCCTTACCTAGCACTCGACGCCTAACCTCAATATTGCTCACCTTATTATACCACTTCACGCGGGAGATGGAACGCAGACACCTATGATCGAAAACAGCTAATCTTCTCATGTCTTCTGCTCTCAATGGCCAGGTCTCACAGCCATAATGGAGGACGGAGCGGACTGTTGAGCAGTACACACGCCCTTTGGTCGATAGTCGGATATCGCGTCTACGCCAGAGACGGCGTAAACTGGCGAATGCGAACCTAGCCCTCTGTATCTGTTTTGAGATTTCGTCGGAGATCAACCCGTTGGGGCTGATGGTACTTCCCAAGTAATTGAAGCGGTCAACGTGCTCTACCACTTCACTTCCTATTTCTAATCTAGGGGTCGATGAAGTCTAATCCTGCAGCGTCATCTTACATTTTACAGGGGCGAATCGCATGCCAAACATTCTTAGATTGCAGCTCAAGGTGTCCAGTAGACTCTGCATTTTGTCAGAGTCCTCGCCTAGAAGGACTATATCGTCCGCATATTCTAAGTCAACGAGATTATTCCCTGGTAGAAAGTCAATCCCCGAGTCGCTGAAGTAAGTTAGGGTTAAGTCCATTAGTACATCTATGATGAAGTTGAATAGGAATGGGGATAATGGGCATCCTTGACGGACGCCACTAGTCGTCACCACTTCAGATGACAACTCGCCATAAGCCCTCACCTGGCTGCATGAGTACGAGTAGAGTGCCTTAATCAGTGCAATGTATTTTCTTGGCATTCCCTTTACAGCCAAGCATCGCCAGAGAACCTCCCGGTCGACAGAATCGAATGCCACCTTTAGGTCAAGAAATATAATGATTGTCAGAGGCCGGTAGGAATGCCTATGTTCTAGAATCTGTCGAAGGGTGAAGATATGATCAATACACCCTCTACCTGGCCTAAAACCTGCCTGGTTTTCTCGTGTTTGTGTCTCCCGAGCACCACTTAGTCTACGCAGTATTATTGAGCCTAGGATTTTGGATACTATATTAGTCAAGCTAATGCCTCTGTGATTATCACAAGAAGACTTGTCTCCCTTCTTGTATATCGGGATGATCAGTGACTTACACCAACCTGATGGGACTTCCTCTGATTCCCAGACACTGCCTAGAACCTCAGTTGGTTGGTTACAACATCTCATCAGAACCAAGTCAGGTAGGAGATCAGTCACTCGCATAACTGATTTCAACTAGTGATCAGGCCTGTAGCCAATCAAATCCCTGCAAACTAACATAGGTATTTGTTGAAAATCTCATACTCCATCAGATTGGTAGTGTTTCCTGTCTCAAGTAACTCTGTGATTCCCGAAACACTTAAGTCATACTGATTCACAAAGTTTGAATCAGAAAAACAGTTAAAAGAATAAGAGCTTGCCTTGTTTTATCTTATTCAAATTATTACTCACTCATCCATACAGATCCACACTGAGATGTCCAAGCTCTCTGTACTGTATTTTCATGCAATGGATATTTCATTGTAGTGAGACCAATTTTGACTGAACTACAAGTGTGCTATCGTCCAACAGTAACAAGTTGTTGTTAATTAGTAGTATATTGGACCGTGGCAAACTGGCAAACCTGACTCTCGGCCAACGGGTACCAGATTCAAATCTCCCCCCACCTCCTAACTCAGCATGGCCCTCACACAATGACTATAGCTCATAACCCGATACCTGTTAACTGAGTTACGACTGACTAGTAACTTGAATATTTCAGTTAGTGGTATTCACGGGAATCTTCCCAATAGGAAGCCATTATGTGTTAAGCATCTTTTGGATGGTAAGTGTTTTACATTTCATAATAGTAATCAATACTTTATTTAACCTAATTATTGTGGTGCAATCATTTGTAGTGTTTTAATCCTGAGAAATATGGTCGGTCCAGAGGATTGTGACGATGAACTGGAAGGCGAGGTGGCAGGTGAATGTTCTAAATACGGGTCAGTTCAGAAAGTATTGATTCACCAGGATAGAATTCGTGAAACAAACGAAGACTTTGTCAATATATTTGTCGTGTTTTCTGACTTGAGTTCCGTACACAATGCTGCAAATGCACTTAACAAACGTTATTTCGCGGGAAGACAAATCACAGCTGAACCGTATGACACACAAGCGTTTATGATGAATGATTTGTTGCGTTAGCTTCTCTCCTACTTTGCAGTATCTTTTTTTTTGTTGTTGTTGTTATTGTTTGTAAATACTTAGCACAAACGTGATTTTATGGTATGACAATCTTATAATTTTATTTTCAATCTTTATACAATGTTATGTTTCTTAATGGTATTTGAATATTTCAGTGTTAAGAAAACAAGTGGTATCATATCACTTTATTACAAAGACATCTGAAGAATTATGTATGAAATGAAATTTCGCCTTTTGACCTAATTCACTTGGAAAATATTGTGGTCATCGTAAAGTGTTTAAGGGTGGTAGCAACTGATCAATTCCCAGGTTGTATCGTGATTTTGCTGATATTCAACCTTTGCTTGTTAGGTATGCAGCTCTCTTGCTCTCTCTCAGCGTATTTGCCACGCAATTCTCCTTATTTTTCGAAAAAGAGATTTCTAGTCGGTATACAAAACTGTTGGGAATATTGTCTAAGATGACAATTTTTGTGAGTCATTAAAATACGAGGTTAATACACACACACACACAGTAAAGCGTGACAAATTTTCAGGAATTTGCATCTCTATGTGCACTGATTGACATAACTGGTATTATAAGTTCGAGTGTACTGTTGGAAGGCAAAAAGAAATACAACGTCGAACGAAATTTAGAATTTTCAAATTCTTCAGTAAACCTGTTTGTTGTACAATTTCTAGAGAAGAGTAAAACTATTGAAAGGGCCAAATGTAAGTAACGCTAGTGACAGTTAAGATACCAAAATTTCAAGTAATGGTTAGCAGCAGACTGAAATGAGGTTACGAATACTCGTAATAAATAGGTAAAAAACAATCTCAGAGGGGAAATGATCTCCTTCAAGGCTGCAGATGCGCCTTCCTGACGATTACCAAGAAGCACGAAACCTAGTTCGAAGGCTTCCTGTCGATTGCCTCCAACCATCTAGTAACAACAATCCGCATGTAAATCTAACAGTAATAACGATGACTGAATCCAATCTCCGGTTGTGTGGAAAGTCAAAATAATCGCTTTACGATCTCCATTATGTGAACAAAACTAAATGAAGATGTGTTATTCAGTGTTGTACAGTCCCAGTTGTCAAAGTTATCGTCATATAATATTAGGTTATTACAAGGAGTATCCGTGTTATATGGTTGATGGCAGCTAGCAGTGAGATCTAAGATGTACATGCCGCCCTGTTTGAGACTCGTCAGCTGGATGTACTTGCATCTCCAGTGGTGAGTGATGTTCCTATCGGGACTTGGACCCAGCACCCATCGTTTCGAACGTAAGAGCGTTACTAGACTACAAGTATGTAGTTGATCAAATGGAGATTTGAGTTTCGAGCCTCAGCTGTAGTCACCTTCGTGTATATGCATCAGGAAATCGGGATGATGTATACGAAAAAATCCAGTGTTATATATTTATCAGTTAGCCGTTTCTCTTGTCCAAACAGCTGTCAATGACAAACGTCGAGTAAGTACATCCTAATTACTGTCTCTAGTCATTCTACAATCACGTTTTTGGTAACGTGTTGCTTTTGACTTTATTCTTACACATAGACCTTCGTGTTTAATTTCTACCCGCTTTACTATCTTCGGTGTCTTCACTTTCGTGAGCCTTTCGCCTTTGTTTGTAATCTCAGCCTACCTGTGCCGTTCTGAGTTGTTAATGCGTAGTCTTCAAAATGCTGATCTCTATTTCGGTATATAACACAGATATCCTGAAACCGCGTGCCGTGTTCAAGCTTGTCACCTACAGTGTTAACACACTAAAGCAAACGACAGGTAGGTCTCACCAGAACACTAGAAACCCTTGTTGTCGATGTATGCCGCATTTCGGAGACCCGCATCCAAGATCCCGGTCAAATGTTTCGAATATCTCTATCTGGAAGTTCAAATGATGTTGCCATTTGCGCTTATCCCAGCGTAACTGGTGTAGATGTCACACTAAGCTCTACAGCCGGAGCTCCATTGCTCGACTGGATTCCCACTAACAGTCGTTTATGTGCTGGAAGGTTATGCGAGAGTAAGAAGCGATCGGATGGAGAGGCGACGCCTATTTGTTGTCTCGCTCTATGCACCGACGGTTTGCTGCCCGAATGTAATAATTATGGATTAGTATTATTATTAACTGAATAACCTTCTGAAACAAGCGTCAGAGAGATATCGTAGTGCTGTGGTGAGAGCTGTCTACTAACCAAATTGGTAGACAGTAATTTACGTTCTCAAGATTTGTCGTGAGAAAATATTAACAAAGACTGATTCAAAACCGACCACAGCAGACTTTGCGTAGGCGGATACAGTTAACATATAGATGATCCGACATTCAAGAAACAGTCACAAAGAGATGAAAGATTAACTTTAAGTGAGAAACAACCAATCAGAAGACTGTGTTTGTTTGCTTACAATAATCTATAATAATGTACATGAAAATATATAAATATGCTTTGATTTCCTTAATAAATGATCTGTTGCCTGGCCCTTGTCTTCTGTTGTTACAGTGCTAGCTGGAGTCTTGAACACAGGCAATGTGTCTTGGCTCAGAGGAAGAGTCGTTTAGGTTGTCAGCGGAGTGTGTATGGTCACAGGTCTGATAATGGGGACTGTCTTCTACGAGTCAATGTAAATAAACTGGTAGCACCTGCCATCTCTGCGAAGTACCATTCTGAGTCAAACTCAAAGCAAGCTAGCAACCCTTCAAGTAATAAATACGAATATTAGCTACGCCTGCGAAACGTTAAGTGATGAATAAAGCCGTTTGCGACTTAATGACCTACTAGAAAACAGTTCCCTCGAATTCCTTACAACTCCTGTTTGCGCGCCGGTCCTTTCCGGCAGAAAGCGAGCATAAGACGCGCAAGATCGAACAGCCGGGCGGTGTTCCAGCCCATCTGAGCTATTGAGAGAAAGAAGTATGGTGTCAGCGAGATGGTCTGTAAAGTAGATGGTACACCAATTACCAACCTGAAAAGATGTTTGGAACGCTGGGCAGTGCACTTTGAAAGGCTGTTCAGTTGGCCATTAGTGTCAGTATCACTGACTATAATATTCCATGGTCGGTTAATACCAACTCACAAAATGAAGAGGTTCGAAAGGAACTCCAAGCTATCATCACTGTTCACAACCACCAGCCTAATCTATACGTTTTTACTTAACTTTGCCGTAGAAGATATTTTGGAGTTAGCTTTGAAGGACATTCATGGTAGTGGTGTAGATCTGCTTTCTTGCAAAAGACTTTTCGACATCGAGTATACAAACGATTTCGTTTTACTGTATGATAGCATGCAAGCTGTTCAAATCGTACTTAATCAGTTAGTGATCAGTGTCTGCGACTATGGTATGAGCTACGCACCGTCTTAGTGCAAAGTACTGTTGCAACATTGACAACAGTCTGCACCTACCCTTGCGGGGGAACCGCTTAAAGTTGTCTACAAGGTCGTGTGTCTACGTAACCATGTGAGCGCTGGCGGATAGGTGAAGGATGAAACCCCTGAGCGTGTAGTGAACGCTAGGTTGGCTACACCAATTCGGGCCACCTCTGACTCCATAGCCACATCAGCCTGGCTGTCAACGGTCGGGTTTACAATGATTTGGTGGGCACATTCTCGCTCTGCACCTGTGAAACTTGACCTCTCCGAAGTGAGCATATGGAGAAACTCCGAGTATTCGATTATGGCTGTCTCCGTCAAATTTCCTGTGTCCGATGGCATCATCGTGTAAGTAATTCTGATGCTTGGCAGAGCGTTTGGATACGTTGGCGATCACCATTCGTTGTGTAGTCATCTTGAAAAATCGGCTTTGATATGTGCTACGAATATCAACTTCGAGGCCTTTCGCTAGGCCTGGGAGTGGATGGGAAACGGGAGGAAGTGGTGAGTCTACGACCTGGAGCAGTGAGATAAGGGATAGTTGTGTTAGGTTAGCATGTGTCGGTACATTATGACTCCCTGGTTCGGGTTCGATAGATAGTACGATTCGCTGGCTCGAAGCGTTATCAGGTATGGCTAAGAATCGCAATCATCGGCTAACATACTGCGGTTTCCTCCTTTCTGAAAGAAGCATGAAGTGATGAAAGATTTTGCTTGCTTTCTGGATGACGTCCCTCAATCATTCTATCTTTATTTTCTTTACATATTTTTGTGTGGTGCAGCTTTTGGGGCCCATAATATACCAAGTTGGTTTTATATAAAATACAACCTCTCGGGTTATAGCTAACTTCTGAGTGACTAAGGATCCTCGAGTTGTATAGTATTATCACCGAAAGATTTGGCACTAAATATCCCGTCAACCTAAACTTATCTGGTGGAACTGCGTGACACAAAAGCCACCTAGTTTGTTTATTCAGTCAGTAATCACTCACTAAAATTATTTAATACTGAGGGTGAACTGTTGGGATCTAATGGTCTGCATTGTTACAATTGGGGAGTCTTCTTAACTTCACTGGAAACTGACGGATTAACATTCTTTTTATGGAATGAAATACTGAATAAACGAAGTATGCATGTAGACTGGTTGGACTGCTTATCAAGTTCTTCGGTGCCGTTAACTCAAAAACTACGTCCAGATAGACGCATGGAAATAAACACGCTTTAACAGTACTACTAACAAAGGCTTAATAAAGATGGATTCCGGAGAAATCAAAGTAGGGTGACGATTTAATTCGGCACTAACCCACACTACCACAAGTGTCATTGGTGGGACTTCAGGCCTCTTTCAATCCGTAAGATCATAAGTGTGTGTGTGTGTGAATACGACAAACATATCAGTTTCTCAAAAGTTTAAAATCAATTACTGAGGAACACCAGTGAACACTTTGTCTGCGTTCGTGAGGAAAGCAACTAGATTGGTTGCCTTATAAGAGTCAGTATAGTTATCAAGCCAAGTATTCAGGCTATAACACCATACAAAACATATAACTAAATACAGGGGAACTAGAAAAATATGCATCTGGACAACATCCATTAAATCACGAAAAATACCCACTTATCCTGCAGCTGACTTGCAAGTAGTTTTTACCAGCCAAAATATGATTAGACAATGCATCAAGGATAGATTACCGCTTTTGTCCACATCTATGTGTATTTACTCTTTTACCTGCTCTTGTGGAGCTGTTTATATTGGACGTTGTAAGCGTAATCTCCGAAAACGTGTAGCTGAACACTATCCAGTCTGGTTAATGAAAGGCGAACGTAGAACTGCGAAGTCGTCTATTTGTGATCACCTGTTAGGTCAGGTCATTTAGCCCCACGTAATTCATGTTTCAAAGTTATCTACATGGCAAAATCGAATCGATCCAAAAGTTTACGTTTTCTTCACTTATGCATAGCCGAAGCTTTAGCTATACATGAACAGAAACCTAAATTATGTGTTCAAAAACGTTTTGTCAAACCCCTTTCTTTACCTTGGTTATAGTAATGTCCTTCATAGTTTTTATTTTACCACTTGAATTCTTTCCACTTCACTTCACATCTTCATTCTTATCGTAATCGTACTCGTAATTTTTTAAAATTTTTAGACAACACTTGACATTAAAAAAATTTTTGGTATTAATTCACTTATAAAACAATCTTTAATAATTTCGTAATTTATCCACTTCAACTCTACCCCTTATAACATTTTAATTGTCGTTATTCTTGTCACATATATGTATATTGACTGAGCAATTACTTAGTGCCACTTAATAACCTCATCTGTAATATAAATACGACTGTACAGCTTGCAAATGAAGTCGTTGAAAAGAAATTTCTTCGCTGAACAAAAAAAATGCTTTTAATTATGAACATCCATTAAAACTGCAAATTACTCCAACAATAAGAGTGGCGTCATTGGCTCCCTGCTATACTTCGACTCGATAAGCGTACTTATTTTTTTTTTATTTTTGATTTACAGCTTGATTCCACACCGTATTTTCAGTACAAGTGTGGAATTTTCAGCATGGATATCGGTAGCCCAAATTCAGGCCGACCATAGATATCGGGTGTGCGCCGGCTGGGGATCGAACCCCGGACCATGTGCATGGTCGGCGAGAGTCCTAACCACTGTGCCACCGACGCTAATACCAACATAATTCGATATACTAGGGGATACTTGGACTTCGCCTAGTGGGACGGGATTCCATGCAAAATACAAGTAACTGGGTCAAAGTACCTAAAACACTTTCAAGAAGAGCAGACACATCAGTTTTTGCATTGTAAACTAAAATCAGATCTATTCACTATGCACATTGGGCTTCTTGTGCCTTAACATTACGAATTACCTTAGTATCCGCGTTGGATACGTAGTTGAGAACTTTCCCTAGTATTACGAGCAAGCAGTCAGACTAATTACCATCCAACGGCTAGTTTATACATTCGCACAAAGTTGTTGATAAATTAGTGCACTTGTAAACTTTTAGGTTTAAAATACACCGAAGTACTATCCGCCAAATTTCGCATTGTGAAATAACTCGACTTATTATAAATACATTTATGACTAACGACGCGGAAAAATGACGACGATGTCAGTTAGAGAAATTTTCACTAGAACAACAAAAAAGTTAATATAATAATAGAGGAATTAAGGACAAAAACCCTAGTTTTTCGGACTCAAATTGGTTTAATGTTCACTAGTGACTGACTGACTGCGTGACAAAGTTCTAGTGAGAAATTGTTAGTGTGGTCCACCAACTCGGGTGTGAAGACATACTCGGCTATAACACTGGTTGGCACTGTGTATCCCAAGTTGGCGGATGTTAGGACTATATTAACACTGGACTGCACCGCGGTGTCTACGTGATCAACAAATGAAGCCCCATGGTCTCACTCTTGGAGGAATTAAAGGTGTGCACTGCTGAAAAACCCCAAACCTGGACGAGACAGTTGTTCTGTGCTTCCTTTTATCAGTGGTGCTCCAAAGGTTATCAGTTCTTTGATTAAAGTGCTTAGTGTTTACACGGTTCACTCGCTAATCACACTATGCAGGTGGCTTTCTTTCACCAAAAATATGAATATTTCTACGTTATTGATTGAATCAAAAGCAGTGGTAGACCACTTGAAATGCGATATCTTGGTTCAACAAGCAAACTTCAGTTTCTATAGAATCATAATTAGTTCCGTTGAAACGCTAGCAACTGACTTGTGCTTTCCAATTAAAACGTTCACATATTTACAACACCAATTTTTCGTCTACTAATGGCTTGTCTCATATTTAACAGGTGCCGGACTGCGTAGTGTGAATGTGATGTCTGTTGTCCAAACTTAGGGGACAGGTTCCATTATGGGTAAATTTCATTTTGATAAAGTCTCACAGTGTTATACAGTGATATTTACTGATGACGTTTCGAGCACAATTTATTGCTCATAATCATATCAAGGTAATCACACGACTTCCTAAATTCATTTATATAGTTCCATTGTTTTTCACTTGATTTGATTGGTAGTAATATTTTCCATATTTCGGGTATGAGTGATGAATCATTTATATTGCATGTGTTGGGTGTAGATTCGATGAACAAGGATTCTGTAATTAACCTCTCTTTCCACCTACCTAGATTACTTTTTAGAATATATTACCAATCAAATCAAGTGAAAAACAATGGAACTATATAAATGAATTTAGGAAGTCGTGTGATTACCTTGATATGATTATGAGCAATAAATTGTGCTCGAAACGTCATCAGTAAATATCACTGTATAACACTGTGAGACTTTATCAAAATAAAATTTACCCATAATGGAATTACACTCTACCACAGTGCCCAAGTTTTATTCTTACATTAGGGAACAGGTGTTTGTTAATCCAAATTTAGAAAGGGAATTGGTTCGATCAGGAGCTGAACCACTGGAAAACAGGGAGTACTGGACTGACTTCAGCTCGTGATCAAATCCCTGCCGACACACACTAGCAAGCGGATTGTTTACTGAAAGCTACAGTCTTATATGCAGCCAGAAGGAATAAATAAACCATTTGAGTATAATCTACACACCAGTTTAATCTAACCAAATAAAACTTCCCCTACATCAAGTACACAGAAATTAAACTGTTCCATCCTAAGTTGAGGAGGACTAAGACAGAGCTGTGTTTACCAATAAATTCTATGTCATGTATTCCTAATCATCTGTACATACACGTCTTGACTCCACCATGTACCGATCTTGCAAAGCTTTAAATTCTTTTGTTTGTATAATCAACCACTGCATAAAACTTCACCTCACACCTCAAAGCAATAAGTGTTTCTACAACGAATTCGTATATCAACGCAAAACTTTCCACAAATGTCCGTCAGCTTACGTTACTATATTCAGGAAGAGTATACAGAAGTAGAGGGAGGAAATGTAATCAAACTAAAACGTACGAGAAAGAATAGTCAGGTGAAAACTAGTGAGAATATTCAAGATGTGTGAATCAACGAATCCCTACATCATATTGCAATTTTTTCAGATATAGCTCTCTGGTAATATATCTAACCCTCTGTGCCTTACTTAGATTCCATTGTCTTGTTACTAAGTGTTGGATATAGCGCATTAAGTGATCGGGATTTATGCAAGAGTCGGATAACTGATGATTCTTTTACACGATATCCAAGTGACTGAGAAACTGGTGTTATAGACACTTTCAAATGTTTTTCAGTGATTCGTGGAGGGTCGAAACAGTAATACACGCGACATGAAGCGTCATAACAGATTCAGATTATAAGGATAGAAGGCTCTTGTTGCCTATGTTAATCCTCGTGATATACATCTCCGCAGACATCCAGTTTCTCTTTGAAAGCGTTCACCGATGCAGCTGTTACTACTGTATCAGGCAAGGAGTTCCAGTCGTTGACCACTTTGTGAGAGAATCTAAGTTCCACATGTGTTTTATTCGACCTCGGTTTGAGCACATTCTTGTGGTGACCTCGTAAATTTATCCTAGAGGGAGAGAAAAGGTTTGACAGGTCAATCCCTAAATCACCCTTTAATATACGGTAAGCCAAAATTAAGTCGCCTCACCTCCTTCGGTATGATAATGGGAAGAGATTTAAATGCTCCATCCTCATATCATAAGGAAGGTGTGAGATAACACTAACTAATTTCATTCCTAACCTCTGTACTCTTCCCAGGATATGTGCCTCCTTTTTGAAGCATGGACTCACCGCTTGTATATAGTATTCTAGATGAGGTCTGACATATGTTGCATAGAGTACTTGGAACGTATCCTCGTTTGAAAGCCCTTCGACGTGCCCATAGCATTGCAAAACAGGCTTAGCTGCGGCTCCATTACAATTTACCGTTGTTTTTAAGTCATGGCTTACAATAATTCCTGGGTCTTTTTGTCCCCTAACATCTGGCAGTTCTGTGTCCCTCAGGGAATACGACGTGTAAGACTTCTGACCTAGGTGCATTACAGCGCTTTTCTTGGAATTAATTTCCAGACTCCAAAGGTTAGCCCATTCGGTTAATTTATCTAGATCGTTTTGTAGTACCAACCTATCATCGTTACAATTTACGGTTTTCCATATTTTAATGTCGCCCGCAAATAGTAAGGAAGGTGAGGTAAGAACTTTTGGCACTTCATTTACGTATAATAGGAATAGCAGGGGGCCAAGTGCAGTTCCCTGAGGTACTCCACTTAGTACTGCTTTCCACCTTGACACTAAACCATTAACCCTTACCTTCTATCCATCAGGCAGTCACTAAACCACTCACATAAACGTCAGTCTAATCCAGAACGTTTAAGTTTACTAAGAAGACCTAAATGGGACACCTTATCGAGTGCTTTACTAAGATTGATAAAGGAAACGTCCAGTAGATGGTTCTTATCCCTGGCCTCGACCCAGTCTTCCCTAGCTAACAGTAAGTTTGTCAAGCAGGATCGTCCTGGTCGGAATCCATGCTGTTCTACTCCCAGTAAGCCATGTTTTTTCATATGAGCTAAGAGCTGATCACTTATGAGTTTTTCTAACATCTTTGCTACATTGCAAGTCAGACTTACAGGCCTGTAGTTAGATACTAACTGCCTTTCCCATCTTTGAAGATGGGGCTTATAAAAGCATCTTTCCAGTTCCTGGGTAGCCTAGCCTGGGTCAGAGACATTTGAAAAATCTCCATAAGTGGAATGTATATTATATCCGCCAAGGAGATTAGCAGTCTAGGGTGAAGTCCGTCAGGTCCAGGTGATTTACCTGGCTTCAGCTCAGACAGTAGTTAGAGAACCACTGCATCCTGTACCACAACTGTGGGCATTTTATTGGCTACATCAGTGACCTCGCTACACCCCTGAGTGGTACGATTAGGAAAGAAAACATCGCAAAAGTATTCGGAGAGCTTTTCAGCTTGTTTCATCTGACTCGGTCGCCTCTCCAGTGTTGCTATTGAGGGACGGTAAACCACTGCTGGTTTTATTCCTGCGCTTGATAAACGATTACAGTCTTTTTGGATAATGCACACAATCCAGTACTAACTTAAGTCAAACTTATACTTACACAGGTTTCGAAATTTTTGGTATTCCATCCGAAACTCCTCCCTCCCAGTCACAGCAAACCGGTCCCATAAGTTCTTCCGTTTTCTTAATAACCTTATTTCATTACGAATCCAAGGTGGTTAATGCGAGAGTTTTCGAGGTGTAGACCAAGGTACAAAGGGTGCAGTGACGCAATCTAGTGTATTCCTAAATCCCATCCAAGCCTCCTCGAGTCTGGTGTGTATTAACAGACCGGTCAGCTAGGGTTGCTGCATTTCGGACTGCAGGTTTATTGGCTTTCCAAACGTTTGGGTGAGCGGCTGTTGACCTATGTATGACAGCGCGGATCCTCAACATTACATCTCTTAAGGTCTTAAATACCCCAATTTCCAAATGATTGTATGAAACGCCCATCATTATACTGTCACCAGTCAGAAATAGCCGGCAACTTGCCATGATTGTGTATCCCACACACTTTTACTATCATCACTTTGATCACATAAGTGAACGGGAATGCCTTATCAATCCTGTCACCTCGGACTCAAATATAAGCAAGAAAAATTAGTGCATAACGAGTCTGCTGTTTTATATATTTAGGTTCTATAATATCTACACAATTCGCGATCAACAAAAGTGCTACTTAGTTGAAAGATTAATGGTGTTTCAAGTAGGCACCTGGTACACGACTATAGCCAAGGAAGCTTCTTCGACCAATCATTTCACCGATGAAAAACCAACATAACACTTCTGCTGTCACTAAAGCATTAATAAACCCCTCCTAAAGAATAGTTTCCATTAATCTAATACATACCTTGACGGTAACATTTTTCCAAGCACCGCTTTTCGCAGCAGTAAATAGCTTGTTTGCTTGTTCCATAGCTGGTTTTATATCGGCACGTGTAGGTGGTCTTAATTCTACCCGTGCATACTCCTTGAACTTACTTAATCTAGGTGTTGCTTCTTTTATTACAAAAGCAGATGCCTCTGCAGACGTCAAAATAAACATCTAACATACTTGAACCGCAATTCACTAGCTTCGCTATCCTATCTGTCACTTTCGAGAGCGCCATTGTGTGACCTAGTCGATGCAATGTCCAACGGTTTTCAAACTCTTACATGTTTTTTCGTCAGTGGAAATAATACTGCCATGGACTGAAGTCCTACGGTATTCCGATGGAGTATATTTTGCATTTATGGAGACTGAATTGTCATACTTTGGTAATACTTCAATTCTTTGCTGACGTAGAATCTGAGCTGACTTCCAGTCAAAGAAATGATGGCCATAGTTTACATAAACTCTGAAAATTTCATCATGACGAATCTATGAAAAAGTTTGGCAAACCAGTCAGTGAGTCTTCTCAAAATTGTATTCAGCTCAAATACTGAGAGGGATGCAATTTTACACTATCAGGCACTTACATCTGAGTTGACTTATGCTTAGTAAACGGCATCTGAAAATATTTTGCGGCATTGGAGTTACGTGAACGGTGCCCCAATATTACGTATAGCCTTATGAATAAGGGTTTTGAGTAGTAAAAGTTCAAAGCCTGATGACCTCAAAACCTCTTTGAGTGGATCTGGGAAGCACCAAACTTAGTAAATAGTTTGCCATACTAATGCCCACAGCCTGTTGAACAATTGGACTGAGTTGGGTTGTATGATAGATTCTAAAAGTTCGGATATCATCACCATTACGGAATTATAGCTTACATCTGATATCAGTGACAATGGAATTAACCTCCCAACCCTCACAGTACATGCATTTTCATGTAAATTTATGTTAATATGAAAATATAAATTATTATTATTATAGGGCAAACCGACCAGATGGTAAGAGGTATGCTTGGGCATCATTGAAGCTCTTGTGCGCGAAAGCGGACCACAAGAAATTCTAGATTGCAGGCTAAACTGCAATGGACACGACATTGACTTAATAAAAATATATCACAGTTCCAAATGCAATGCAGACTTCTTAATAATAACACTATTAATAGAGAAACTTTGCTCATGAAAGTCCAGTCATCTCACCGTGACAGTCGGCCACTTCATTTCCCCACCTGCTGACTGGACAAGTCTTACGACGCCGTCTCGAAATATCCCTTTTACTTAATTAGCAATAATTTATGTCACTAAATGTATGCACTATGAACCACAGCACTCTCCAAACTTCAACCTGGTTCCCTTTCACAGCGCGGATGTCAACTTTGCACATCTTTCACACCTAGGAAGAAGTGATGATGCTGAGTTTGCTTTTAAGATCACAGACATTTCAGTATCCCGGGCCGAGACCTCAGCTTGATAAGACGTCTAGGAAACCGACGTAAAGGCCATTGACTCAGTGCCTTAATACAGGACTTGCACATAAATCAAGATTCCCAAGCGGGAGCTGAATCGAGACAATTCAACCAACTTTACTACCGGAAGGCTCAGTCCTTGGAAAATTGTCCACAAGGGACAAACCGAGAGATTCGTGGGTTGTTCTGCTGCACCATGTATGTGATATTCGGGATTTCTAACACTATGTATTCGTACACCATAACCAAAAAGCTGCTGTAAGAATTCATCAGTCAAATTTGTATTTGCCCGGGATGCAATAGAACCACTTAAACATTTTCTGTATAAGGACCCCTCGATTAAGAAATCTAACAGATACCCAGACATGGCTGGTGAAAACGACACTATTGGAGAAGGCAAAGTCTTGTCACAGGGATCGTCACCCTTCATCGTGTTAACTCATGTCTCATCAGAGGAATACAAGTTAGATTCCGTCGACATTGACCAGAACATTCCATTACATTCTATAAAGAAACTAGATGCAAAGAAGCCAGTGGAATCTGATGACCTTCACCCACGGCTTTTCAAGGAGCCGTCATCTCACATAACCGGCCCACTGACTAGTGTCTTAGAGCTTGAAAGGGGTGCTGCCGTGTACGTGGAAAGATGCCATAGTGATCTCCAAGCCCAGAGGAGGACCAATACATTGTATTTCAAACTACAGGTTCACTACTTTCATCAGTACCTTAATTAAGATACTGGATACAATCACCAACAAAGCTATCATGGCATATCTGGAAAACAACAGCTTTTTGTCTGGGACACAGCACAGCTTTTTGGGAAGACTAATGGGCTTGACAAACCTTCGTTACGGTATTAGAAAGCCGGGTCAAGCGAAGGAATAACATAAGACCCGTCGACGATGTTCACAAAGACTTCAGCATAGTACTAGTCAAAGTGTTCAGCACAAGACTGCCCATGAATTTGGAAAGTCTCGGAATCGAAGGTGGTTGACTAAGCTGGATTAAGGAATTCCTCCCAGGCAGGCGACACAGGGACGTGATGAACTCAATACTCTTCCCCTGTACAGCATTACACAGTGCAGTACTGCAAGACGTACCTCTTGTTCATTTTGTATATCAACGAGTAGTCGGGGCTTACTGAATTTCCTACTCAAATGACTTAAACATCTTGGGGAGAAATAAAGGGAGATAATGACATGTTTATATTGCAAGGCCTCAACAAATTGTTAGACTGGTCTAAAGAGTGGATGCTCCTAATCAAATTAGTGAAGTGTACAGTTATGCGCATTGGACACGCAAGAGTCAGCTTAAATGAACCAGAGGATATAATGCTTCCACCAGTTCGGACTTATACTGATCTAGGTATCGAAGTGAGTCACGACTTAAAAGCAATCAGCTCGAAAGTTTCAGATCATTGTGCGCCTTACCTAGAGCGTTTACTGGAGCCACGAGTGGCATGTCCGCTTTTTGTGTGCTAACAACGTAAAGTCAGTCGCTGCGTCTGAAAATACCAGGAAGCACCCACAATGTTATATCTTTTGCATGAAGCACCAAGAGAATTATTTTGTAGTAGGCACACATAAAGCAAAAATGTCATTTTGGGTTATCTAGCTTTTGATCAACCCAGATAAATACAATAGCTTAGCAGCACCGATATGAGTATGGTAATTGAGAGAATTAATGGGAAACAACAATTCCAGAAGGTACCTCCCTTAATCTTGCCAACTAACCGGCCTGTAATAAGCCCGGGAGGAAAGCAGATTCAGCAGTTCCCCGTAAGCAAAACAACCCATTGTTTCATTCTTCTACTTTCACAGCCTTCTCTGGATCGCGATGCTCGGACACTGATGTTGTTTCCCACATATGTAGCAGAAACTAAACTTCTCAGTAATTTGGTAAGGAGTTCGTACACCTTGTTACAGAGACAGTGCGAGTGACACTGAAGAAACTGGCTCACAGCTCAAACCAAAATGCGAAACAAAACGAAATTGTTCCAGAGAGATTTATAGTGAAACCGAAACTGTTGAGGGGATCACAAAATTTATTGTAGTATTCAACAAGAATTATTAAATAACTGTAGTATGAACGTTTAGTTTCGAGGTAATCACATTTGCTTAGTTACACGAAACTCTTATTTCCCTGTTGTTTCTGGCCAGGAAGAAGTATAATTTATTGTAAACTGGCTTACTCTCGAACACTGATCCTGTGGATATGACCTTGCTGATTATTATCTATAACTAACTGTTTACCAATCTGTGACTGTTAAACATACAAGGCGGATACCTATAACTAACCAATATTTATATTTGTGTATATTGTTTTATTTCCATGCCCAAGTCGGCCCAAGTCAATGAGTCTCTGGCTTACTTGTTACTTGCGGTAATTGTATTAGACTATGGTAATTTTACTACGGTTTTGTTGTTGTCGCCTTTCCTGTTGTGATTTTTTTGTTCGGCTTGCTTTGCTTCTTATTTTCCTGGTTCTAAAGGAGCAACCCAAAAGGTCTCCCCTCTGTAACTTACATATCTATGTAACAACTTCCTCCTCGGGCGTGAGGCTAGCAACCTCACCCTGTAAAGAAAACTGCTGCAGAAATTCAGTAAGATGAGTCTCATTGCTACGGAAAAAGAAGTATGCGTGGGGACATGGAACGTCTGCACTATGTGCGAGACTGTAAAAGCTGTCCAGATTGTAAGTGAGATGAAGGGATATGGTTTCCAAGTACTGGCAATAGGTGAAAGCAGATAGAATGGGAGTGGACTCCCCAAATCTTCAGTGGAAGAGTCAGTGATCTACTTTGGTCACCCAGAGGACAACCAGAAGAACACCGAGGGCGCGGCTTTCATGATGTCAACAACGCTCACGAAGGCCCCGATGCAATGTGAAGCCATCTCATGCAAGATAATGACCGCCAAATGCAACTCAAAAGGAAGGAGAGTGGTAGTCCAGAATATACCGGATAATGGAGGAAGGCAAAAGGTTAGAGTATATTACTTGGGACGGCGAAAATTCCCAACTCCCAAACAAAGTGCCTGTTAATCGCGATAGAGAGATAGACTATATGATAGACAGCTAATCAATATGATGTGACCTTCTTGTCGCGATTATTGGTCAATTTATTGTAACTCTCACCACGTGATGTGACCTTGAATGTTTTTTTGTGTCACTCTATTTGTGTGTACATGTAATTAATTTACTGTTCAATTTGTCCGTACCCTCAATACTCTTCGGTACGTTTTTGTCTTTTTTTGAATGACAGTGGATTTGTACATTTTTCTTGGTGTAATTGTATGATTTATTTTATGTTTTAGAAACAGATAAAGTTAAAGTCAAGTCATTCTGTTTTAACTATAGATAAGCCCAGACTCCGTGTCGTCAGTATTGAGGAAGGACTAAATCTGTAGGACAAAAACAATCCTACAGTGCCATAGACTGAAAAAGAGTCAGAACAACTACTGCCACCATATATGCCTTCAGTTTGAAACACAGACAGAGGCTAAGAAATTCATCAATTCACAACGTTTCTTATTACCGGACGTGAGCTGCAAAAAATAAAAGTTGTAGCGGATAAGACAGTGATTGAAAGCTGTGCTTACAATCACCGTACCATATATCCCTCGCCAACTGCATTCCACCTTTCCTTTGATAATGTGATGAACTTATATCCATAATGTTGCTGAGCAGTTAATATTCTCAACTCCTGTCGGAACAGCTGAATTTCATAAACCTTCCTCACGCTAAGAAAATACCCGCAAGCAGTAGAAATCCATTAATTAATGCGTCTGAAGCTTATGC